TATATATATTTCTCAACAGTTTTACTCATCCATGCATCTATCCACAGGGTTTCCCCTAGGATTTATTTTTAACTGTGGTGGTGGGCTGTCTGCCTTTTTTAAATTTTATTTGGGTGGGGGGGTTGACAGAGATAAAACATGATTTATTTCATGCTAATCTGAATCAGTTTAGTGTATTTTGTAAATATATTTGACAGTTTTGTAGGAATTGACCACATTTGCAGTGGAGGCCCTGAACATGGCCCATTTGGATTCCATGTCCTCGACCTCCCATGGGATGTGAAAAACTTCCCCAGAGGTGTGAGTTGAAGATCGCACAGACAGGAGACTTTGCCAAATGTTCCCAGTTCACCCTCACTATACATTTAAGATTACCAGGTCTGTCCGGCAGCCTCCCCCACCACCGGATCCAACTCACCACCAGGTGGTGATCAGTTAACAGCTCTGCCCTTCTCTTCACCCAAGTGTCCAAGACATAGGGCCGCAGGTCCAATGACAATTACAAAATCGATCATCGACCTTTGGCCTAAGGTGGCCTGGTACCACGTACACTTATTGACCACCCTATGCTCAAACATGGTGTTTGTTATGGACAACCCGTGCTTAGCCCAGAAGTCCAATAACAGAACACCATTTGGGTTCAGATCGGGAGGCCGTTCCTCCCGATCACCCCCTTCCAGATAACTCAATCATTGCCCACATGGGCATTGAAGTCACCCAGCAGAACGAAGGAGTCACCAGATGGCACCCCTTCCAGGACACCATCCAAGGACTCCAAAAAGGCTGGGTAATCTGAACTGACCTTTGGTGCATAAGCACAAACAACAGTCAGAAACTTCACTCCTGCAGCACGAAGCCACAGAGAGGCAACCCACTCGTCCACCAGAGTGAACTCCAACACAGAGGCACACAGCCGGGTGCTTGTGAATATCCCCACGCCTGCCCGTCGCCTCTGTCCCTAGGCAACTCCGGAGTCTGAAAGAGTCCAGCCCTTCTCCAGGAGTTGGGTTCCAGAGTCCAAGCTGTGAGTGGAGGTGAACCCAACTATATCTAACTGGTAATGCTTCACCTCACCCACAAGCTCCAGCTCATTACCCGCACGGCCAAAGACCCTCCTTCTCCTGCTGCCGGGCATACATCGCACCCGACCTTGATGGTCCTCCCTGCGGGTGGTGGTTCCACGTGGAGGTGGCCTCCTGTAGTCCTTTCGGGCTTCGCCCAGCCAAGTCCCAGGAGCCAAGGCTCAACCACCAGGCGCTCGCCAGTGAGCCCCCCCTCCCACACACACACACACACACACAGGTCTGGTTCCAGGGACGTACCCCGGTTTCCCTACTCCAGGCGAGGTTTCCTGATGTGGTTGTTGTTGTTTTGTCATCAAGGGCTTTGAATGGCTCTTTGTCTGACCCCTTCCCTGAGGCCTGTTTGCCATAGGAGACCCTGCCAGGGGGCTAATGCCCCAGACAACATAGCCCCTGGGATCACGGGGGTACTCAAACCCCTCCACCACGTTAATGTGGCAATTCTGCGGAGGGGAAAAAATAGACATAGATCAAAAATAAAATTAAGAATAATCATTACTGTAACGGGCTATCAGATGAAATTGGATAAGAATGAAGAATAAGACAAGATATTGTGCAGAAAAATATAAATTACAGGAACAGACAGTAATGACAGACTCATGATCCGAGGGGGTGTGCAAAATGAGTCGAACTCAGTCATTAAGTCCAGTACAGTAAAAAACTTTGTACAATTGCCACAGGATATTATTTATGCAATGATTGAGAGGTAGAGTTTTCTGATGTGCAAATACAAACATGGATGCTTATCATGATTGTCGGGAGCAGTGATGTTTATAGAGTCTAACAGCTGATGGGAGGAAGGATCTGCGGTAACGATCTTTTGTGCATTTAGGATGCAGCAGTCTGCCACTGAAGGGGCTCTGCATATCAGCCACAGATTCATGCATTGAGTGGGAGAC